ACTTTGATGAATGGAAAAGTCTGCTTGAAAATTCTAGTTGATAGAGAGCTAACAGTTTCAGTGAGTCCTAACGGAAATTTGAAACATATTAGAGATAATTTCCGAATATATAACGGTTATAGTGTGGTGATGAGTTTGCAAACGTAACTGAACATGGGTTACATTACAAGTTATGCCAATGTGGTGGTCCTAACGATAAAATGGTAATTATAAAAACTAAAATTGAAGAAAAGAATTTCATTCAAAAGTGGGTCAGAAATTAACAGGCACTGATGAATAAACGACTGCGAGAAAAGGAAGCCATACATAATGAATGGTGGAGCCCATCTCTGTATTATAACGTCGGAGTCGGGACTTTCGGATGCATGCTTTTGCCAAACCCAGTAGGCCACTTAATCTACTTTTTCCAACCCAATGCCTAAATTAAAACATTGACCCATCCTGCACTCATTTCCCTTTTTCATTGGAAGTATAAGAAGCGGTGACCTGTTAAAAATCGGTGACTTTGAGAAGTACACGAAAATGTGATAAAAATTATAATATCTTAGATTAAGTGTAACGTAAAATATTATATTTTTTCTAAAATTTTCAGTTGAACTGAAAATGTGATAAAAAAAATCATAACATTTTCGGTTGTCAATCGAAAATATTATTTCCTCCCTAACATTTTTAGATTCAATTGAAATTTTAATAAAATTGTAACATTTTAGGTTACGTTCAATCTAAAATATTATGATTTTTATCACATTTTTTATTACGCCTTAAAATCACCCTTCTTTAACCTTAAATTGGACAATTAAAACTACTGTCATTTTTATGCTTCTAAACCAATAATGCATAAGTAGCTCAAAAGCATTTAATTAAAAATTAGATGGAATTACTAAATGAGGGTGCTAACCCTTTGCCTTTAGTTTTTACTTCTTCTACCTAACATTATTCTCAACCTCATTTTTTTAGAAACAACTCTTGGTAGTTATTTTTATACTAATACAATATTAGAGTTTAAAACTTAGTATTTCGAATTTAGTATTTTATGACTTATGGTTTAAATTTTAGGATTTAAAGTGTATATTTTTAAAATATATATAACTAATTATTAAATTTATATTAATACATTTTAGTAACCAATTAACTCAGATATTAGTTTGCATAAAAGTATAATAACTGTATAACTTAAGATTTTCTTATAAGGGTCTTAGGTTTGATCTCTGTTGATAGTTTTTTTAGATGTTGATACATTTTAACTTAAATATTAGTTCTAATTGAAATGCAAGCCTTTTTCATGGTTAGCAACTTCATTATAGTGTGAAAAATCAAAAATAGAGAAAATTCATATCAACATTGCTATTAATTTTAATGATCGGTAATCAAAATAAAAAAATAAAATAAAATTAATGACCCTTTTATTAAAAAAAGATAGTTCAATAGCCAAAATAGAAAATAATAATAATTTGGTAACTAATAGTACAGTTCACCCAAAGATTAAAAAAATTACTATGTCACTCAACTATATGTTGGGTAATAAACGAATCATTTTTTCTAAAAGATATAATTTAAAAATGATAAGAAATAAATAATTAAATGAAAACATATGTAATATAATATGGTTGGATTGAGGATGCGACCTTTCCCATTTGATATGACTGATGGTGTGATAAGGAAAGGAATAAATGGGAAAAGTGGGAAAATCAACAAAATACATACGTAGTTCTGCACTCTTACATCCCCATCTGTCGTAACATACTTCCTGCCCATAATAATGAATGAATCACTTCCTTTTAGGATTTGGACATGTCATCAAAAACCATTTAGTTTAATCCTAGGTTCAATAATATAAGATGGATTTGTGTCATTAAAAACACTTAAAAATTAAAAAACTTGCTCTATTTTGATTCAGATCCGTGTAAATTGGGAACAAACATGTTGACCCATGTCTGACTCCTCTTTGATTATTTTTACACTGACTTAGTTTAATTTCTTTATTTCTTTTTCAGCCATTTGTTGAGTTAAATTAGTATATATCTGCCTCTCTTGGATCTCATTCATTCAACTTATATATTTTTAAAAAAAACACTTGTAATGCGTTATTAATAAATTCACGTAACTCCATCTTCCTTCACTACTTAAGAGCTTCTTTTTTAGGGTATTTTTTGTTGTTGTTCATTCAACGATGGCTCACCATTACCAACCACCTTTTCTTCTTCTGTTTCTGCTGTTTTCTGTTCATTTGGCTGTTTCATCGTTTCAGCAACGACCCAAGATCAGCGGCGTTGATCTGGCGGCGTTGTCCCTCATTAAAGACAGCCTGACAGACATTCCAGGCTCAAGATTCTTCTCCACTTGGGACTTCTCCTCACCGGATCCTTGCTCCTCATTCACCGGCGTCACCTGCGGTTCCGTCGGTCGAGTCACCATTCTCTCTCTCGGCACTGGCCTCTCCGGCTCCCCGGGTCTCGCCGGTTCACTATCCCCTGCTCTTTCCAATCTTACCCAGTTAACCCAGCTCATCCTGTTCCCTGGTCTCGTCACTGGTCCTATCCCTCAACTGTGCCAACTTACTGGTCTCCGAGTCATTTCCTTGACCAACAACCGCTTAACAGGACCCGTACCCTCCCTTTCCAATCTCCCATTCTTACATACTCTGGATCTGAGTTCAAACCAGCTCACAGGGTCCATCCCATCGGTCTCACAAAGCTTCCATCTTTAAAAGTCCTGGTGCTGAGTTCGAACGAATTAACGGGCGAGTTACCCGTAACAATGTCGGCGCAGTTATTACACTTGGATTTGAAGAAGAACAAGATCAGGGGACCGTTGCCAGGGCTGCCGTCAACCGTCCGTTACTTGTCGGTATCGGAGAACTCGATGTGGGGTCCACTCAACTCCCTGGATTCACTATCCGAGTTAATGTACCTCGACGTTAGCATGAACCAATTCAGTGGGCCCGTCCCAACTTCTCTCTTCTTTAATCCCTCCCTCACCTCACTGTTTCTCCAACGGAACAATTTATCGGGTGGGCTCCCATCGATCAAGGTGGACCCCCCAGTCCAATCCTTCGGAGGCGAGGGATCCATCGTCGACCTGAGCCACAACTCCATCACGGGGAGATCACACCGTGGTTGGCTGGTGTCGAGACTCTCTTCTTGAACAACAACCGTCTGATGGGATCGGTCCCCGAGGAGTACATCAAGAGCGTGTACGACGGCACCACCACAACATTGTACCTGCAGCATAACTATTTATCTGGATTCCCATTACCTCGAGGCTATACTTGCCTGATACGGTCGTTGTGCTTGGCCTACAATTGCATGGAGCCGCAGATTGGGATATCAGCCTGTCCGGTCAGTGCCGGAAGGCAGCCGTCGAGGCCGCAATCGCAGTGTTCAGTGTTCAGCCATCGCGGCTCATCGGACTGATAACAAAATAGGTGGATACTGGATATGGTTCAACGTTAGACGTCAGTTGTAAGCAATATTAGGATTTAACTTGCATTACCACTATACAATTTTAGTTTCTTTTGGGTTTCATTTACATGATAGTTTATTTATAATTTGTTTTAAGAATGAGTGATAAGCAGTAAAAAAGGAAAGGTTTAGGCTTTATTAGTGGGCTTGCCTTTGTGAATGGAGAGTTTTCTATTTGTTGTTGATTTACGGTATATAACATCAATTTAAAATTTTATTACGTATATTTTTAAGTAGTTTCAACCGATAATAAGATAATATCTATTTATAATTATTTTTAGTTATTGAAAACGCTCACACAATCTACAGATACAATTGTTTGAACTCAAGAAAAATAATTATCTCTTTAATCATTAAGTACATTTAACAGGTTGATTAAAATTTATATTTTAAACATTATATCTATGATTTTAATTAATTTTTTGTTGGATTATATACTAAATTCAGTCCATTTCTTTATTAATTGGAAATAAGGTTATTCAATTAAAAAAATTTACTACACGGTTAAAAGCAGCTATAAATTTTCATGTGTAAGCAAATTTTTTTACAGTATTTTAACTTCTTATAACAGCAATAATCGGTGTTATTATTAATTTTGGGAGTGATGGAAACATGGTGAAGGGCAAGGGCACCATTTGCGGTCCACAGCATTCACATCACTTGCAATGTGCAGACAATATCATTTAAGTGGGTCACAATAATTTCACCCGCATTTTGTAATCGTAAATTTGTTTTCATATTAAAATAATGAAAACTTATTTATTTTTAATTATTTAATATATATATATATATATATATATATATATATTAAAAATGTATTATTCTTTTAGAGGTTTCGAGTTTGAATAATTGCGTATGTAAAGTGTACATTGTTAATGGCTAAGAAAAATTATGAATAAATATTATCTTATAATCATACCAATGACAGATTCAAAAATATTTTTGAGGGGGAACATATATACGTTAACAACATAAAATTTTTGAATAAGATTGATACAAATAAAATTTCACAATGAACACTATTAATAAAATAAATAACTAATAAAAAAAATTATATTTCAGAGTTTATACATGCCCATCTTCAGATACATGCAACTCGGCCACTGTGCAGTACCAATAAAAATCTTATTTAATATATATCTATATTTATATATTAAATTTCTTATAAAATTAATATCATGAATCAAATTAGCATTATTTTAATTAAAAATGATTGAAATTTTTTATTTTAAAATATAAAAATATTATTTATTTTATCTTTTTATAATTTTATATGATCTTTAACTAAAATAATTAAAATTTTATGATTAAATATTTACTTAAATCAAATACAAAACTAAAAAATTTAAATTACTAATATTTAATCATTTTATGATCATTTATCAATTTAATTTTATTAAGTACATATTTTTATATAAAATATTTTAGTTGAACCACATCGAATATAACAAAAATTACTATGATGCCCCATTGATTATGAGTTCCCGTATACTTCATTTTGGTTGAGAGCCTTCCTTTTTCTAATGCACTTAAACCATATCAACACAAATCTCAAGTGTTATTTTCTTGGGAAAAATCCTCACCAATAATGCCTATAGGCTATAGCGAAAGAAAAAAGGGGAAATTTTCAAAGTTGAAAACAAAACTCAATCTGTTAGCATCAAACCCATTCCTTAGGATTCCTGCAGGCATCCAACAGTTTCCACTCTTCACTTCCCTCTTCTGGTTTCTGTATGTCAAGCAAATCAAACATAATTTGTCAGTTTCAGTTGAAGGGTAACATAATTTTATTCTTCAGAGGGAAGAAAGCGTACGTGATCATACTCCCATCGTGCCGTTAAAGGGAGGGAAACAAGAATACTCTCGATTCGACCTCCGGTCTTCAGTCCAAATGTTGTACCTCGATCATACACCTTTCATTAACATATCAAACATAAGCTAAGATTCATCTACCATTTAGTTTAGTTTTAGGTAAGATTCCATACCAAATTGAATTCTACATAGCGCCCCCTTCGCAATTGTTGCCACGCCTTGTGCCTTTCATTGAATGCTGTATCCTTCCTTTTCTCTACAATGGGTATGTACACGGGAACCACAGAATTTGCACATTCTGCATATTGCTTCATTAGAAACACTAAACACAATTGGAATCACTTGTTATATGTGCTAGCACCCAAGCAATTACCAGTGGCAAATAAAAGTAGCATCTCTTGATCATAGTCATTTAGATCATCAAAAAATATTCCCCCGAGCCCTCGCCTCTCATCCCGGTGCTGCACAGAGCAAAAGCAGACAAAAATAATTTAATCCATAATTAAATGCAGAAAAAATGCAGATGAACGAGAGGAGTCAATGAATTAAGTACACCTTGTAAAATTAAGGGTTTTTTCTTTTTCAACTGTTACAAAAATATAACCATTTTGCTCATTCTAACATACAAAGAACCGAAATGTAATCCACACTACAGTACATAGACCCGTACAATACATTTTCTAAGAAAATTACTATATATAAAGCCTTTGAGAACATATTTGATCACGCCGCAGGCTTACTGACATTACTCAAAAACTACCAAGCTTCCACCAATAGTAATACCATATATCTTAATGTAGGTGACTTTTCTTTGAAGGATATGCAATTTAGCAAGAGATATATTCTCTCCATATCCTTTTACATTGAATTTCAAGAATGATATAAAGTTTAGCTGAATCTTTTTTTTTGTCAACCTATGAGGAGTATAAGATATCTGACTCCATGTCCTTTTACATTAAATAAAGGTATGAAAGATAAACAATATCAGTCAAAACTCAAAAGTTCAATGATCTGTTATTATCACTGAAATTAGAAATATAAAAATAAAGAAATCAAAACCCTCAAATCGCGGAAAACAATATTCATTGTCAGATGTATATGAAAGGAAAACATTATTTGTAGTGGAACAAAAAAAGAATTCAATCTGTAAACATAAAATTAACATCAACCAAACCAGAAATAACACAAGGCAAAATGCTTTAGTTAATACTTTGAACATACTGGGGAGCATATATTTATACATGCAATTATAAGTTAGTAAAAGCAGGCCAAAGGTGAATCTATATTTACTGTATTGTTATTTAGGCAGATGAGTACCCTAAGTGCCATAAACCAAACTTCTTTATCATTATAAGGAGCAAGTAAGGCACAAAAGAAGCTCTCTCCCACCCTAGAAAAGTAAATCTAAGTTATAGAATGTGTGTGTGCATATATATAAGGAAAATCCATTCATTGTACATGGTAAAATCATCAAAGAGAGGAAAATATCACATTGGAAAACCCATTTTCTCGATACAAAGGCCATACACATAGTTCTAAAACTCAGGAAATAGACGAGAAACTCATATAATGCCAAAATAATCAAGCAAAGATCATACCTTAATGTAAAAGTAGTTATCACACCATTTTTTGAACCGAGGATAAAAGGATGGATCAAATTTGTCACAGGCCCCTTTTTGTATCTACAAATGAAGGCCAATGTTAGCAAAAGAACATTTGGCAAAATATTTCATTTTTCAAATAACAGTTTTAAGGAATAGGACTGATATTTACACATTTGTACACTGTTATTTATAGAAAGTCATGGCTGTCTCCAAGGAAGACATGTGCAGTGCATTGACAGTTAGAAACTTTTATCTCCACCCATCAATCTATATAGTCTATACATTACTAATATGTAAAAGGAACAGAGGTTGCTGCTGTTAAATGGATTAAATCCACGTGTGTTTCAGCAAACCATTATAAAATTTAGTAAGATCGTGAGATATTCAAAAATTTGAATTCTTTTGTTAAGATCAACACTATACTTTCTCAGAGTGAAACTACCAGAATTAGAACTAATTCAACTGCTTGAGCTGCTTCATATCTTAATAGAGAAAATGCAGATGTCTCAAGCTTCACTGTTTGGTGAAATAGAGAAAACCTTTGCCACAAGAGCAAGAAACCCATATGACTTTTACCTTTTATTCGGAATGAAAAAGGAAACATAAGAAAGAAAGAATTGAAATTCGACTCACTGAATGGAAGTGCTTGACATCCTCCTCAAAGATGTAAGACGGAGTCAAATCAGTTCCACCACCAAACCACCATTGCCTGGGTGCTCCGGGAGCATCTGCGCATTTTCAAGACAAGACACCAACTAAACTAAGACCACTTTACGTATCTTAGAAACACAAAAAAAAGACTCGTATTTAATGCATTATATATGTAATCATATATTGGCAAGAAAATAACTTCTGTTATATAGACATTTCCATGTATTCATTCCATGTAGCATTTTGTCTGTTTCATTCGTTTCATATATCCATATTGTATCCAAAATTTAGAACTACCATTTTAGCATGCCAAACCAATAAATCAACAACAACAACAACAAATATTTATAAAGTAGGTACCATTCGGGGCATCAGTTTCAAAATATCTATAGTTAAAATGCAACGTAGGAGAAAACGGATTCTTCGGATGCAAAACCTGAAAAAGGAAGAAAACCCAAATGCCACAATCATCAGTAATTTCTTTTTTCAATGGAATTTCACCAAAAATTTGAATAATAATAGTAATTAAAAAAAAGAGCAAAGAAAATAAGTTTTGAAAAGTTAGTAATTAACGAGCTGATCCCGGCGGCGAAAAAGGGAACGGGACCGGGCTTCTGATCAGTGACAGCAGCCTTGGCAGCTCGATAAGCTTCAGGGGGCATAACTCCATAAACAACCGAGACATTAACACCAGCCTTTTCGAAAACGTGACCGTCTTGCAACACTCGACTAATCCCTCCACCGCCTCCGGGCCTCGTCCAGGCGTCCTCCTTGAAGTTTCCAGCTCCGTCGAGAGCCTCGAGGGCGCCGCAGACGCTGTCCTGCACCTCCATAATCATCCGCTGGAAGCGCGACCTGATGGTCGGAGATGACAGCTTCTTTCTCGATGGAAGTGGCGGAACACGTCCTGGGGAGGGCAAAGGAAAGGCGGAAGCGTAATTGGGTTTTCCTGGGAGAAGAGTAAGAAGATATTGGGAAGAGAGATGGAGAAGATGAAGAAGAGAGAGCGATTGTTGGAAGTGAAGGCATTGCGGAAGATTGTTGATTCCACGAAAACTCGAAATTGTGAAGACAAATAGAAGGAAAAAATGAGATAAAAAAAAAGAGTAGGGATCAGCCCACAGAGACTGTGTTGGTTGGTTTCGCCATTGGTATTTTAAGGGATTTCATTTCCGGTGGAGAATTTAGTCAAAACCTAACAACCAATCCATTGGATTTCATTTTCCAGGTATTCTGTCAACGCTTTATTCCTCCATCTTCCCATTCTCTACTCTATTCCTACACTCACAATCGATTTCGGATGATTAATTTGCTTCGTACCCAATCCAATTGAGTTTTTAAAACTTTGAATCCCAGTTTATCATTTTCAATTCTCGAATCGTTATGAGTCTTATCAAATTATTTTGTCAGCCGATTATAAATTTTACATTTTATTTTAATTTAATCTTAATACTAAAAAAATAATTTTAACATTTTAATATTCCACTAATTTAATTCTTTTTATTATTATTATTATTATTATTTCTTCTTAACTCCGCCATCTTCTTCCATCTCTCGTCTTTTGTTTTGTTGTCAAAACAAAATATAGGTTGCTATTTTCAACATATTGTGTTGCAAAAAATTTTCATGCAAAATTTGATCTAATTTAAATTTGTTCAACAATCTCAGCACTTTTGAATATTATCTTATCAAACCCTAATTTACCACCGTTTCAATCCTCAGTTTGATCGGTAACATCTTACCTTCCCATGGAACTACTTGCTAATGATGAATCAGGGTTCGCGTTCTTTATTTCTTTCTGCTAATATCAGGATCTGTTTCGAATTGCTTTGATTGATTACGAAACAGTAGCATTAGAAATAGGATGACTTAATTATAAAATAATTGCCTAAATTATAGTTTTTCTACTCTATAATATTTTTTAAATGATTTCGGTGTCTAACGTTAAAAACATTATCACTTTAGATGTCCGGATTGTAAGCGTTGTTAATTTTCTCTATTAAGTAACAAGTGTCACATTCGGATAGCTTTATAAAATTTATTTAAAATTAAAAAAAATAAAATTCTATATTTTTAAAAAAAGCACACAAAAGTTTCGAAATAGCTCCAAAACTTTAAAAATCTTCATTTTGGCCTCTAAACCCACTCGGTCGCCGTCTTTTGTCGTCGATGAAGCTCCACCCGACATCGCCTACTCCGACAATCAATGTCTCTATGAAATCGCGACCAATCGACGTTTTGCACCTCGTAAACCCTAGGATGAAAATCGTGATCGCACGATATTCTGACAGTCAATCGATGGCAACTACGGTGGTGTATGATTAGGAGAATGGCAGTGACTAAGTTAACAGCAGTGGTCGTGGTCGGAATAGGAGGTGGTGACAAATTAAGGTTAGGATTTAGGATTTTTAATAAATTGGAGATTTTTTTTGTAATTTAAATAAATTAGGGTTTTTTTTTAATTTTAAAATTATCAAAATGTGACACGTGTCACTTAACAGAGAAAATTAACGACAGTTACAGCACAAACACCTAAAATGATAATGTTTGTAACGTTAGACATTGAGACCATTCAAAAATTATTGTAGACTATAGTTTATACATTTATTTTATAATTAACTCAAATAGGATTGAATCACAAAAGAAAATTTATGAAAATTGTTAAGAAAATGGTCTCAAGGTGATTATAAAGGCGATTATACCGAAAAATCACCGTTTTAGAACATTAATTACATGTCAGACACCATTTCATCTTTATTTGCCGATCTAACACTCTTGTGTATAGTTAAAAAAATTCGGGTATTAATTTTGTAAATCTTTTTAAAATGATACCTAATATGTAATTAATTTCTATTAGGTGATATTTGTGTAAACACATCAACTTTATTTATTTATTTTTTGTGTGTGACAAAAAAACTTTCTACATTAAAATCTTTAAATATTCTTTTGCAAATTATTTTATAATTCGACAAATTTTAATTTTTGTATGAAATTACACAATACGTATAATCTAGTATAGGAAAACTTTGAGGTTAAGTATTTTAAAATATGAATAATTTTATAAAAGTTTTTAACTAGTATTTATTTTTCAAATGATGATGATGATAATAATATTTTTTAATTTAAAAATTATAAATTTTATATATTTTTAAAAAATTTATTGACTTTTAAAATTAATTGTTTAATATTATAAAAAATATTAAATAACTTTTAAATTTTTTAACAACCGTTAATAATAATTGTTTATTCATTTTTAATAAAATTAGAATTTAATATTTATTTTATATTTTATATTTTTTAAAATTAATATTATAAAGAATATTTTAAATAAAGAGGTGATATTTTTTAGTTTTATATTTTTTTTATTGAATTTTCTTCACTTTTAATTCTTTTTTTTGTATTTTTATTGATTTTTTAAAAAAATGAATAATAATTCATTTTATCTATCAATTGTAATTAAAAGTTTATTTTCATATTTTTATATTTTTAAACAATTAATATAAAAAGTCAATAAACATTATTAATTGGTTTTAAAAAATAATATCACACAATAAATAAATAAATAAAATTGATGTTTTTACACAAAAATCACCCTAACAGAAATTAATTATATATTAAGCACCATTTTAAAATTATTTACAAAACTAACATCCAGATTTTTTTACATGTTTCACAAGGCGTGGTTTTCTGTCACGTGACGTAAGGCGCGGTGTATGGGATGCGTCTTCCTGCAAAAAAGTGTTAGATCAGTAAATAACGATGAAAGGGTGTGTCAGGTAATTAAAGTTCTAAAACGTAATTAAAGATTCTCATGATGTTTAAGTCAACACTTTATTCGGTTGATGGATGCAAAGAATAGCAGACCACGTATCATATTTACCCATAAATACAATACTAATACGAGTAAAGATTGGTCTAAATTGTAAACTAAATGTAGCTGGAATGATGTATATAATACTATTTTAAGAAAAAGAAAGGTATAAACAAAATTTAAAAAACACTGACTTGGGAAGAGAGAATGTGACTGAGTCACAGGTACTGCTTTGGAAGCATTCTGCCGAATGCCGATATTACAGTTTGTGTATTTGTATTTTGTTGAGAGACGTCAATTGCATAGCATCATTGCTTATCTCATTTCTTTAGATTCTTCTATCATAAAAGATAAAAACATCACAACATTGCAGGCTACGCTGCCAGCGGAATTGAGTAAATAATCTTGGTGAGTGAATTTTTTAGTTCAATTGGGTAATAAAATTTATTTTGGGATCTATGGTATTATTATAGTATCCATGAAACTCGTTATGCCAGCGTGACAATTTCATAGGATATATTTTTAATGATCGTGTTATGTGGGTATCACAACCCAAATCTATTTAAAATATTTACATGACGAGTCTCAATAAAAAATTTATTTTTAAAATTTTAAAAACATTGTTTTAAAAAATATATTATTTTAATGGTGAAGAAACTCGTCACGCCGGTGTGACGAGTTTCAATGATTAGAAATTTGAATGTTTAGACTGTTTGATTGATCGTTGTTGAAATGACAACTTTTTTAAAAAAGTTCTACCATACCCAAGTTTTGGGCTAGTTTTAAAGTATTGAAATAAAGTTTTAACAAGGGAACAATTTAGGACTAAATTGTAAGTTTCTGAAGTTTTTGGGCCAGTTTTGAAAATCTAGGAAGCTAAGGGACTTGACTTTAAATTTTTAAAATTTTATGGATAGTTAATACTCATTCCCCCTTTGTAATCCCTAAACCCCAAAAATTTTCCCCAAATTTATCCTAAGTTTCCAACCCGAACCCTAATCCGTCAGCCTTTTATCACCGATTCTCCACCGCCCGGTCGTGCCAGTGTGTGTCGTCACCACCAATTGAACCGATGTCCCACCCCGACCATCATCGACCCCGTATTAGCCATCGTTCGTTGGGATCAAACGTTTGGAAGCTACATTGAAACCCAAAATCGTCGCTTCGATTTTCATTGATTATGGCCACCTTCGTCGTCGGCTCGTCTCATCGCCCTTCCCATCGAGTTCCCTAATTCCGTTCGATCATACCCCGACTAGATTCATCGCCTCGCCATTGTCCGTTCGCCGTCCGCCGTGGTAAGTGCTCTGACCACCTTATTCCGTCATTTCACCGTGTTTATTGTTGGGTTTTTAATATGTTTTGGTTGAATTGTGATGAGTGATTGAACAGGGAGTAATCGGCCGACCACCCCGAGACCATTGTCGTCGCCACGTGCCTCCGCATGCGCGTGGGCTTGTTCTGTCTGCCCTGGAAATCTTCTACAACCAGTCCAGCGGGTTTGGACTGGTCTGAACCGAGTCTTATTGACCCGAATGAGTCAACCCAAACTGAGTCAACTCGTTCGAGTCAACCCATTGACTTTGACCATTGACTTTGGCAAAAACTCAACTTTTTAGGAAAACAAAGTATTGTTTTATGTTTTTCGACGTCTTGAGTCCGAATCCGAAGTCTGTTTTGCCAAATTCGCGCTCGATAAGTTGTTTTTCAGTGTTTTATCTTCGAATTCAAGTTGGTTTCTCAATTAAGTTCAGTTTCTGATGTAAAACTCGGTTGCTTTGTATTCGAGGAATTATTGAACGTTGAATTCAAGTTTGAGAGGATTGATTGGCGATTAAATGTTCGATCGGTAGAGCACAAAAATCAAGGTAATACATTACTATCTAATGTATGCTTTATGGTACATGTTGAAATTGGTAGATACATGGATGAATATGTTTGCTTTAAGTTATATAGTAAATTATTTCTAAACTAGATCCAAATACTATAAAAAGTCGATAACTGAATATAACTCATATGGCTCGCGTAAAAACTGGAAGATTAATCGGAAATAATAATAAGTTCAGTGATTCAATAACAAATGAATTGATTTCAAGATCTGTAAATTTTGATAAATTCCTTTAAAGGTTAAATACCATGATTATTTGAATAAGAAATTACCAAAAATAACTCTATGGGGTAAAATTACGAAAATGCTCTTGTACTGTAAAAGACCAAGACTTCCCCTAATGGTTAAAATAACGTCTAGTGACCAAATGAACAAAGTACTCTAAATTCTAAAGGACTATTGATGACTATGATAGGGCGACGACATGAGAACTTATATTATGATTAAGTTGAACTGAATTGAAGTAATGTATGTATTCAAATTTGTGGAAACAACTGAATTACTTTGGAAACTTCGAAGTGATTGGGATAGACTTAACTAATAAATGTCCTAAGTACCCTCAAGAACCCTG